TGGAAGGTGCCCTTATAAGGGCCCCCTATCAAGCCACAACATTCCGACCCAAACGCCCGCCCGCCCACAAATGGACGACCGTTCCTGACGCTCGTATTCATTCATTTGCTAAGCAAATTATGAAGCGAAGGGATTGGTATGAAGCGGCCGTGATGCTGCATGCATATATGGGTACACATATGGTGATTGGCAAGATGCCTACGGGAAACTCGTCCGAAATCGATTTACAAGTCACTGAGAACGGAGGCTTTTTCTTCGCAGGATTTTGACCGTTTCACTCCGTTCTTTCGCCATTTCCCCACTATATAGCGCCCTACTAGCATTTTAGGCCGAGTAGGAAACCATCGTGCCAACTGCCTTTAGTAGAGGAGCCCGGGGAATGAAGTTATCCCTAATTTCGCACAAGTAGTCGTCCTAAAGCTCTCTCAAGACTATTAACCCCCAAATACAGATAACATGAAAAAATAGAATCCGTTTTCAGAATGATCCACAAACTACTTATAGCGCTAGTGCTCGTACTCGCTTTCGCCTTCTCCGCCGATGCTTATTGGGGATACGGTAAGTAGTTGCAGGAAAAGCAAGTTTTTCATTCATTGTCTCTTCAAACGCTGGAACTTTAGGTATGGGTTACGGCATGGGGTACGGTATGTACTCTCCATGGCGTCGATTTGGAATGTATGGCATGGGCATGCCGATGGGCTATGGAATGATGTACGGCAAATAGACTGCGCTGGTGGCTGACATTGTGCATAATGAACATATCTATTGTAGTAGTACCACATTTATAAAGCGTTTTCATTTGATCTGAATGTCTACTTCTGAAACCATCCTACGAGAGTGTTCAACTTCATCTCTGAAAACGGGATTTCAAAAATGCTTATTCAAGAGAACGCCCAAGGGCAGTTATCCTGTTTTCAAGATTCATTAGGTCCAATCTTGCTTTGTAAACAGTGTCTGGATCTCCTTTCCAAATGATTGGAATCGCTGCCATTTGGGGCTCCACCCACAGGCGAAGCACGCGACACGTGCCCCACCACAGCTGTAGACGTCGGATGGAGACCTGAACACCATCCCCTTTCACCACGCTTCAGCCTCATTTCTGCGCCCTTTCCAATGGCTTGGTTGTTGGTATGCTTCTACAGCTGCGAATCGTTCCATCTCCTACATGGCGCGGGTCCACCTTTGTCAATACAGGAGCATCCAGCCTTCAAAAGTATATCTCGAAAATGCTATCCAAGGCAGTGCGATACAGTTGTGCTTTTATAGACGCTAACTGACTCAACAATGAATAAAAGAGTCAATATCACAGTCAAGAATCCCTAAATAAGGTTCAAAGACTGGAGAGCAGTCAGAAAAAAAAAAGATGTTATTGGTGATATTATCCGAGAGCAAGAGATCTACAGGATGAGAGGAGTGGGAACTCGAGCTGAAAAATGAGCTTCAAAGTTTGGAGGACGCCAAAGTCCTCCACATCTGAGTGATGCGTGAAGACAGAAGACTAGGACTCTCGGCATGGTGGCGTCCCGCAGTATATAAGTGAAGTGACTTCCAACTGGTGGCGCTCCTATGGGCTTAATGACTTGCAGCAGCGTCCTCTCTATAGATGCTGCAAGTCAGTCAGGGCGTGTCTGGTCCTGAAGGCGAGCTGGAGCACAGTGAAGATGAGAAGGCCCGCCCCCGCGGCGTTGTCCGTCCCCTGATTGGTTTCTTTCTCAAGCGAACACTATTGTAGGAAACGCACGATGGTGGGCTCATTTCACGCCGGTATCCGGACATCACCTTGGACTGACTTGCGAACGCGATTCGATCTAATAACCTGAGTGTCTTTATTAACTCCACCCTAGTCAACTTGTAAAATATTTTGGGGGAGTTGGTTTATAAATGGTTCAGTGCGATCCGTTCTCTATACTAGGCACCCATTTATTCAGACAAGTGAGAGACAAGTTCTGGTATTATCTTCAAGCCATTATAAGGCCCGATCGGACTGAAAATGTCTACAAAAAGCGAAGAGATAAAAAAATAGCTTACGCAAAAGGTTTTTGCCGTATTCGAGCGGTAGAATGGCCTCGTCGAATTGGCAACTGATTGCATGACATGGGTAACGTTTTATAATTATGTAGGCGGCAATAATACCCTGAAAAACGTTCTGAACTAAGGAGCATAAATTCCATGAAAGAGAAGTGACGCTAAGTAGCTGGGCAGGGAGAAAGTGAACGAGTCTAGCCACGCCCATCTCCTGCTCATCTGCGCTTTCGCCTGCTCTCAAACTCAACGAACACTATCTAATCGAGAGCGCGCAGACGGGCAGAAAATGATCAAGGCTCAGCCGCGCCATCGTTCAATGCATTCAACTACCTTGGGACCAACAAAAAAGAATAACTGTTACCTTGATCGGTTCGGTGATGATGATCCAGAGGAAAAGCTGGATCAAGTAGCGACGGGTGAACACCTGTGCAGCGTCCTCGGCAAGTGAGCAGGTCAGCTGCAAAGGAGTCCCATCTAAATCTCTTAACAGAATCATATGAGGGTGTTGTGTCACATGGAAAAAAAAACTTGGTCAAAGTGCAGCGCTGCGCGCGTTCATACGCGCCCTTCAAACGCCCCAACGCATAGATATAGGCGTCAATTTCGCCGCCACGGTCGTAGTTTCTCACGTTTTCGCCGATTTCAGCCGTATAGAGAAGGAATGCGGGGAGGCGGTCGTTTGGCGCGATCACATTGCCGTTTACGTGTTTCGGTCTACCAAAGTGGGTAACTCGTCCGAATCGGCGATCTGTTAGGTTTTCGCAATTGATGGCCTAGATAAGGCTGTGAAAGTTGGCTCGGGTGCTAAGGGTTCCCAGCCAGGTTCCCAATGATTACTTATTATTAAGGAAGTGTCAATTAAAATATTGGACGAGTTGCCCTAGCCGGAAGCGGTTAGCTTAACATGTTTCGGCACGTCAGTGACAGAATCATCGCGCCAAACGACATGCACTCGACACCGCATACACTCCTTATCCCTGAGACGGAGTGGGCGTGGCATCTGAACATGCCCTAGAACAGGTAGCTCGTGGGATATTTCAATTTGAGACAACTGTCATCTTGTTCTGTGTTGGCCAAGGACATAACCATATTTGCCCCAAAAGGAAAATCATCTCATCACAAAAAAAAAGCAGCAACGGCTTCACGTCAATTCGAAGTACGCCAGCCGTACGCCTATCGCATCTCAGAGAGTTTGCGAGTGTAAAGTATGCTGTCTACTGATGTGACGGGATGTCGAAAGAGCTAAAGACAATTCCTGCGATCACGTGTTACGGATAGTAAGTGCCCAGTCATGACCGTAGTTCGTAATTAATCCCCTTTAGAGAAGGAAGCGAAAAACCTTGAGAACACTCTGAACTGAGACCCCCCCCTTAGCAGTGGACGCCTTGGACGAGTTTGTCGGACGTCGGCAAGGCCAATATTCGACGTGCAACCTATTTCTGACAAGAGCACAAATCACCCTACGACCGCTGCCAGCATGCGATTCCGTTTGTAAGCCGACAGCAAACATACCGACATACAAAAAATGAAGAGTGCGATAAGTGCATATTCCAATACAATTTCCAGTATTGCTCCGACTGCGAACGGCCAGTATGGGGGCAACTGCAACATTTGCACTAATATACGTTCAAAATAATATAGGGGTGAGACACCAAACTATCTGTTGATTTGACGAAGCTTGCGGTGAGTTTGCAAAATGCACTTTCCAAGCCGGACAGCGCACACCCTACATCTAACATTTCTTACGGGTATACCTGTCCGTGAGGCTGCGTTCACAGGGCACAGCGTTCGATGGGGATTCCCTATGGGGGGGGGGGTCGTATGAGGCCGCCAAAAGGGGGGGGGTCGTATTTGGGCTGGGAAAAATTTATTTTTATAGTTGATTTTTCTCGCTTTGCGGACGTTTTGGAGGGGGGGGTCGTATTTGCTCATTGTTGGGAGGGGGGGGGTCGTATTTCTGTCTAGGAGTTACGTGGTTCACTTCATGAGTTTTATGAATTTTCTGTGTTATAGGTACTATGTACGCCCGTACGATGTACGTCGCATGCTTACTACATACCCCGCTCGACAACTTTTTCGCCGAGTATAAACCACAACCACAGTCAGCCAATCCACGCAGTAAGCATGAAGCGTACATACATAACCGAGTTTGGGGGGGGGGGGGGGGTCGTACCAGCCCCTGAAAAAAGGGGGGGGTCGTAAAAGCTCGACCAAAATCCCCATCGAATGCTGTGCCCTGTGCGTCTCATACTTTGGCATCAAGGAGTCAGTGTACGGAAGCGTCTCAAGCGTACGCCAGCGCCAGCGACTAGGAAGGTATGGATATCGATCTAGGGAACACCAGTCTGAACCGCAGTACAACAGCGTTTTGGCGGCATTTGCTCAAAACTTAAATTGCGGCGGAAACGCTGGTCGCTAGACAATGTCATACCTTCCTAATACTAGCCATAGGCTGGTGTATGCTGACGAAAGTATGAATGCAGTCTTACTTGTCATTTAAACTTTTGAATTGACGCTTAGAAACGAATTGTATACTCAAATCGTGAAACCTGTTACTAACCTGACCGTGCCACTTCTGTGCTGCCAAATGTACGGGAACGTGTGGGGATGCTAACATAGCGATCCGGCTGTTATCTAGACTCCCGCTCGCGCAACTCTCATTGTGCAGCACTTGTGTTGAAGATGGCGGTCGCATGGAGATCTGCAGGGCAGTTAACAGAGGAAACCGTAAGCGTAAGAGGGGCGAGCATAAGCGGCGGTTGTTGGCTATGGTAGACCGTATAGGCGAGTTCGGAAACATCACCTGGGAATCACTACCCCCACTCCCCTTCCGTCCCAGCTACGTCCTCCTGCACTTCTGATCTGAGCGGTGGCAACTGTCGCAGCTGAGGACTAAATCATCTCCACATGGCAAGGGCCAAGATTCACAGAGGTGAGTGTACAGTTACTCTTGAATGCTATGTCGAGACAACTGGCAAGTTAACTGGTTTGGCCATTACACCGCGCCTCGGGGTATACGGACAACTAACACTCAACCACTGATATCGCCCGCCAATTTCCTTGTTTTGTCTGCGCTCTCACGTCTGTATGGCGTTCTGTGAGCGCTCTGACCTTCCACATCCCAACTTTTTATGCATAATAAGTGGCCTATCCGCCCCAGTGTCCTCTCCCTCTAAAAAAAGACATGCTGACTCGCGACATGTTTTTTGTAGCGCATGATGCCTTCGCGGCCGCAGTTCTTTTTTTCTCTGCGCTTTGGCCTTTCGCGGCATGACCCCGCCAAAAGTTCTTATTGTCACGTTATCGCGCCTCAGACGACTTGAATCACATCCCATGCCTCCTGACTTCGACGACGAAGCGCAAAAAAATGAAGTTATCTCTTCACGTTCCCCAGTTGCTCTTTTCCATTCCACAGTGGGTTATATCTTCCGCGGAAGTACCTACCTTTCTATTGTCGTTTCGATTCTTCAGAAGCTCAATTTCCTTTAACTCATAGTAACTTGGGATATGGCTGGAAATACTTCAAAAATCGTTTTCATAGGAGCGGATAGTGAACCATCACTCACGAATAAATCCAAGGTATAAGGGAGGTAAATGGTAGTATGAGAATGGAAAAAGATACGCCAATAATTATCTGAAAAATTTTCGTAATTCAGAAAACGGCTACTTCTTTTATAAGGACACTAGCGGACCCACATCTTTGGGACTGACTGTGACGCCAAAAATCAGCTTTTCCGCTCCTGATAGCCCGCTGAAGTCTTCGTTAGTGGCTATTGCCCAGTTCACCAAACATATTATGTACTGACCAAGTAGGATTGAAATCGAATAAGAACTGCGCCTAACCCGTTGACGAGTTCGTAGGCCTCCACCTGAAAGCAGGCACAAGTAGCGGGATGAAGGTTCCAAATATTTCCTCTTTCTTCCTATTTTAATTCAGCTATTTCTGTGAGCCATTCCTTAGCAATGACGTTCTTACAGCTTCAGTTTATACATTGCCAATTGTACTGAAGTCATCCGTCCGCCCGAAGTCCAGTCCAGCGCCAGCCCCAATGACTCATAAT